TGATTACTTTTCCCAATTCGAAATGGTTTGCATATGAATGGAGATATTTCAGTACGTCTGTTTGTGGTGGGAAAGGTGTTGTATTTGTTGGATAAGAAAAGTTGGAAAAAGTCATCACTTGGTAGGGCGTATTTGTTCTAGTGTAATAAATAAAACAAAAGTCAGATTTCAGTTGTCTACATGTGTTAATATCAAGTACATTTGTTTGGTAATTTGAATAGATTGACAGGCACAGAATCAATTAACATGATAGTGAAATAGTATATTGCCGGACAAACAGTGTTTCTCAAAATTGATGTGTTTACATGGCTAAAAATTGTTTGTATATTTTTTGTGAAATACCTTAGTCCTTGGTACATGGGCGAGTGAATTGGATTACCGTATTTATCTTTGCCGATTTCATCAGTATAATACCACACTCCACCGATCTCTTCACTTTGTTCGTAGACGGTTACTTCATGACCTTCGGCAAGACAGTGTTTGGCGCTACAAAGACCTGCTGGTCCAGCTCCAATAACAGCTACATTCAAAACGATTCTATTCCCATTGTTGGTAGAAGCTGCAACGATTTGAATTACAGCAAATACAAGCAACAGCCCGACAAAAATCTGCGAATTTTTTTTTCGTTCGATTAGATTAGAGATATGATAAAAAGCCACATTTTTGCACACGTCACATATAGTACATTCAAGCATAAGCTCATGTGAGTATACACATATCAATAGCAATAACACACAACAGATTGACGTAAACAAGTATATGGCTTTTCAGTAAAATAAATCTTATTCATTTAATTAAAATTTAATCTCTTTTTATTGTATAAAATTATGGTGATTTACATGTATATCAATTGAAAGAATTATGAAACTTTTATTTTGTTTTTCAACATTAATACACTTTATTGCTTTCGAAATACGTATATGAGTATTTTTGATACCAATAAAGTGTATTAATGTTGAAAAACAAAATAAAACTTTCATACTTTTTTCAATTCTCTTTTTATCACTAAAAATTTTGAAAAAGAAAGTAAAAGAAACAAACTGTAACAAGAAAATTCATTTATAGATGTGATTCGAATGAATGCCAAAAATTAACTAATCATATCGCCAACATCGTTGGTTCGTTGTAATTTACCTCATACTAAATACAATTATACATTACGGACTCAATCGGATAGGTCACAGTAATAGTATTATCTTATAGCTTTATTCAATATATAATATATACAATATAAGGGATTTGGGTTTCAGTTGTATATGAAACTTATAACAAAGTCACATTTTCAAATCGAAAAAACAAAGCTATAAGATAATACTATCACTGTGACCTATCCGAATCAGTTCGTAACCTATAATCGTAAATAGTATGAGGTAAGTTACAACGAATGTTTTTGGCGATATGATTAGTTGATTTCTGGCATCATTTGAATCACAGCTATAAATGAATCTTCTCGTTACAGTTTGTTTCTTTTACTTTCTTCTCCTAAATTTTGCATTTAATTTTGTCCAATTTTGGGTGATAAAAAGAGATTTAATTTCAATTAAATGAATAAGATTTATTTTAAGAGAAAGCCATATACTTGCATGAGACGTTATATCGTTTGTTATTGCTATTGATACGTATAAAGCGAGCTCGTGCTTGAACGCACTATATGTGAAGTAGGCAAGAATTAATCTGTTCAG